GGTAAAAGCTTTTAAAACTGCTTTAGTAAACTATCCGTTTAATAATATAATTTGAAGGGTATTCCCAAAATAGTTTTAAAATAGGCGATAACAAGTTTCACAACCCTTAGCCTAGACACGAACCGTAGGCTCATTGCTGCCTCTTTGCGCTTGCTTTCGCTCAGATTGAATGTACATATAATAAAATGTTGGTGTATTTTTCGTTGGTTCAAGACTCACCTGCAAAGAGAAGAGAATAAGGGAAATGCATTAGTCAAATGTGGTGGCTTACAATGTGCAATGTGCAATATGGAATCTGCAATGTCATGAGTTGAGTTAGGGTTGAACGCAGACGTCATGGTGTAACCGCGTGACCTCGTTTTGAACAATTAAGTTAAGCTTGGCGTATGCATAAGTTCAAGGGATATGGAGACAGTGGGCCGCTGACTCTGACGTCAACAGCTTTTTCAATGTTTTGTGTGCTTTTCCAATAGTGTGAAAGCTGTCGATCAGCAATTGAGCTTTCGATGACGTCAATGTGCTCGTCTAAGGTCAAGCACTCACCAATGACGTCGCACGAACTCAAGGCGCCCTCTAGTGGGCAAGCTTTCACTGAAAGCTGTACTCGCTAAAGCCCCAATGCTTTCCCTTGATAGCTTTCACATATACTTTTCGAACTTCCAGTGCGCTTTGTTTTTCTTCATTATTATTTCGAAATTTCAACAAGTTTCGCTAAAGTGAACGCTGCAGGCACGCGTCGCTGTCAACGTCAACGTTGACGTCGACTGCGCTGCTTGGTCGTCGTCGGCATTTGTTGCTCTGTGGGCAGCGAGCACGTGCTCGTGCTGCTCTCGGCTTCTGCGGCAGTTCATGTTCTCTATGTGTGTGCGTGTGTGCCACGCCGCATATCCTTTGAGCATACTTTTAAAGAATTCACGAGCTTCTTGTGGGTGTCTCTGGCTGTGCGTATGTTTAGCAATAAAAAAAATGCTGCACTGTCGGCTCAGGATGCTGCGTGCCACACACTCTTACTTATCAGCTCTAACAGCCGTCACTCAAACCACCCCCCCCCCTCCCCCCTCCTCCTAAAACAGCACAATTGCTGTATTTTTCTTCTATATATTTTATTGTCTCCTGCCGAAACTCTTCATCCGTGAAAGGACTTCATTCCCCCCCCCACACACACACATACTAACCAACCAACCAGCATCAACTACTTCCCAATCCTGTGGGTTATTGAATAGCAGTCGCAGGAAGCGCAGACCTACTCGACGCTGACGCTGACGCTGACGTGGACTCGACGTCTGCGTCGCCCTCATAAATATGCAAAGGAAATGCAAACGAACTAAACGAGCAAAAAAAATAAAAATAAAAAAAATAGACAACAAGACAGCCAAAATAAGAAGAATTTACAGAAACGCAGACAATGCAAATGGAGCTTTGTTAAAATTTCCGGAGATGCTTATTCAATAAGGAGGGAAGGAGACGTGTGAATATTTGAACTTCTTAACTGCCACGCCCACAGCCTACAATTAAGGCAATTAAACATGAAATATAAAGTATTTGAATCGCTTTTGCGGCACATTTCACTTAAAGCCTCTTTTGACTCACGGCTCTATGGTTAAAGCTACCCCCTTTGATAAGACATTTACTAACTAAATAGACTACAAAACGCATTCTTCATTTTTTCATTAATGAGTACACAATGTACCAATATATCAGCTAATAGTTCAGAATTGAAAATCAAGCTTAAGTATTATTTATTAACAAATAGTTTGAGCCAAGTTTATTCAAATTCCCTGTTAAGATACTCATAGCTTCAAATTTAAGTAAAAATAAAAGAATATAATCATTTCAGTCTGTACATTTTTGGTGTCTGTCTTTTCAAACTGATGGTCCTTGAAATAGATAAGCTCTAAAGAAATATGTGCTTGAAATAGTAACTTATTGTTCAGATCAAACTAAAATTTCTGAATGCTTAAATTGTTGCTAAATAATTTTCTACATAAAAGATAAGGTTGAGAGAAGTTTTGTTAATTGCCAAATATGCTAAAATGCTTCCCATTAAATGCTTCAACACTCAAGCCGTGAACTTAACACATATATTAAATAGTATTGTGCTAAAAAGTGAAACTAATAGTAAACTTTGTTACAAAATGAAAATGGCAACTGAAAACAGAAGTTTTCACATTGTCTTCTCGACGCTGCTTCTGACATTTTCAGTTTCATTTCTAGTTTTGCCCAGCTGCCAACTGCCGAGTAGTTGCTAATGTTTTCATTGTTGTTGCTGCTGCTGCTGCTGCTGCTGCTGCTGCTGGCATCATAAAATCCAAGTTAAAAGTGTGCCTGGCACAGTCGTAAAACGGTTTGATTAATGTCCAATGCACTGCCATTGCTCATACGCAACATTGTCTCGCTGGCAAAGACATTGGAATATGCTAAGCGTTAGTCTTGGCACAAGTTTATTATACCCTGTACACCCCGTACATCAATTATGGTAAGGGACAAAGACAGAGACAAATACAGAGACAGAGACAGACATATAAGATCGAGATTAACTGAAATGGATTATGTCAATTTGTGTACACAGAGCAAGTTCATTTTCTTTTGGTCCGACACACGTTTTCTGGAGCTTATCTTGAAGGTTATAAGAACGAGAGGTCCAATAACATTTTGTATAACCTTCAAAGCTTCAAAATATATCATATTTTTTGTATATCTTTGTATTAAACAAAAAATTGTTTTCAATGTGGAAATGTGTAGCTTTTATGTATACTAGCTTGGATAGTAACCAGACATCCTGAGAAGTCCAAGCGACTTCCTCTGTCGCCGCGCTATTGCTATTGCCACACTGTTGCTGTTGCTACACTGTTTTTGTTGCCACAGTTACTGCAGATGTTGCTGCTATGACCGTGGCTTGTTGCTCGGTATTAGCATAATCGGCTTATTGGCAGTGCGTCGCGCACACGAAAGCCAATTCTGTTGCCAAATTGCGTCTGAACAAATGGCAAATTGATGCTGTGTTAGCTGTTGCCATTGCTGTTGCCATTGCTGTTGCGGCTGTGGTTGTTGTTGTTGGTATTTACCTTTTGCTCCGAGCTGGCCTTTGAGCTGCGGCTTAGCTGCCTGTCGACTGATACGCTCTGACACTTTTGCCACTCAACTCAAAGACAACTAAGAAGTTCTTCTCATACTGGAAGTGACTAAAAAACCAAATGAGTTGTTGTTGGTGTTGCTGTTGTTGTTGTTGTTGTTGCTTTTGATTTTGTTGCTGTTGTTACTGTTGTCTTAGTTAACGAGCTTGTGACGACTCATTGACTTTGGCCGTTCCTCAGCTAATGGAAATTGAATTCACAAACCGATTTGGCCCAACGAATGCAAATGAAGTGCAAACCACTTACTTTGTGGATGGGTGGTTGGGTGTATTGATTGTCGAGCATTGTTATGCCAACACTCGATAACTTTCTAAAGGTGCTCTGTTAGGTAAGCTGAGTTTATTTTTTGATATAAATTGCAATGAAAACAAATGCCAACTGCTGATTATTGCCACCTTCTGTCTCTTTTCGTCTTTGCGTCTTCTTCTAGATAAACTGGGATGCCCTCAAGGCTTAAGTCAAAAGCTCATCCACTTCTGGATGGCGTTTTTGTCCCTACTCAAACAATTGTGAATGGAGAAGAACTATGTAAGTCGGAATGCTCACTTAATTCTCAAGTTGAAAAGCAGAATCCGGAGACAAACAGCCGTAGGATGTTGATGAACAAGCGAAAAGAGCGTCAAGTTGGTCAAGTTTGAATAGCCCGATTGTTTAATACCATTGTTAAATATTGCGTGTGGCAAATAGATCTGGACATATTGTGCAACATATTTTGGAGCACGTCAGAAAAACATTTCCAAATGCACACAAGTAAAGCGCCAAACATTTTTTCTCTTGCAAATCAAATTCAATTTATCCCTAAAGTTTTACTAGTCAACATTTCAGTTGTTTTACTTACAGGACTTAAATTAAGAGACATTTTCCTTCACTAAGTTGATGTAGATGGAGTTAATAATTTCGTAAATCACTACAAGTTATATGTTGGCAGAAATTGTCATGAAATTGGGCCGTGATTAATTTGACTCCCATCTAAACAGCCTCGAACAAATAATTGGATATACTCGTAGTCGTTAGGCACAATGGCTACCGAGAAGAATAGTGTAAAGAAACTGGATAAATACGGGCACCCATATGACTGGCGCATTCATTCGAATTCATAGTTGCATTCATGCCTGTTGACGAGTATTATTGTCTATATTCAGTGCGCTAATCAAGAGAACATTTCCTCACTCATCTGCTTAAAAGTGGAGGCGGAACATGTGCGTTTGTTGTTTTCTATTATGAAAAGCATTTACCTCCCCCATTCCGACCTACCTCTGCACCCCCACAAGCCACCCCCCTTGCACTGCAACATCCAGGAGCAGACTAGGACGCATGCGTTTGTCTGGAAGAGCGAATAGTAAATAAAGGCAGAAACTCACAGCAGCTCACATTGTTGCGATTATTTTGCACTGTTCCAGATAAATGAAGAAGAGCGAAATTCGTAAATATTTTCAAATATTATGATATGATTTTCTGACTTTTGATCTGAATCAGCATTAGATTCTCAGCTGCTTGCCAGCTCTCTCCCTATCTCTCTCCCTATCTCTCTCTCTCTCTATCTCTCTCTCTTTCTCCTTTTCATTCTCCTTCTGTCTCGCTCTCTTCTCTCCCTCTCTCTCTTTCGCTCTTGGCGTTTCTCTTTGAAGTTTCGGATATGCTTGGCTTGCGCTCTTACAATAACAAAAGCAAGCACACTAACACACACACACACACACACACACACACACACACACACACACACACACACACACGCACACACACACACATACACGCACACAGAAAGGCACACATCAGCCGGCAAAAAACGCGCAGCTTTGGAAAAATTGTCGTACAGAAAAGTTTAGTCGGAAATTAGACGCCAACGCGTTCGGTTTGCGTCTCTCTCTCTCTCTTATTTTCTCGCTCACACTCGCACACAGTGTGGCCAGAAGGTGTGAAAAAGATTGTTAAGCTCAACGCATCGCATCGCATCGGATCCGTCTTATGTATACACGTATTTACCACTCTACTATAACTATAAATATAATTAAAACTATAACTATAACTATAGATTTGACATTGAACATAAAAAGGTAAGTCTCGTGCCTTTCGCCTTTCGCCTTTTGCCTTTTGCACTTTGCACTCCATCAACAACTCCCCACAGCCCCTAGTTTCCCGAACCCCCGCTCGAGGCACAGCAAACTATTGACTTTAGTGGTTTTCCTTTCATAAGTTTTGTGTTTGCTGTGGCTCGCACTTGCTTTGGCTTACTTGTCGTCTGGAAAATACAGATTTTATTTTGTTAAATATTTAATAGTTCCCAATGTGTGTGTGCGTGTGTGTGTGTGTATGTGTTTAACTGTATATACACAATTCGTATATAAATATATAGAGCGCCCACTTCAATGTTCTAAAAATAAGTTTGCTTTCTTATTTGATTTGCGTTTTTGTTGTTTTTGGATTGTGTTGGGGTAGCTGCAACCGTCTGCCATAAATCAAGAGGGAAACTGTTTTAATTGAACCGATCGAACAGGTGCCTGCCACTATGTTGCTGGCTGTTAACCAGAGTGTTCGCAATTCCAAGAAGCGTCGCGAGGCGGAAACAGCAGCAGCCACTGACAGAGCAGCCTGTGCTGAGATAACGGATTCAACAAGACATTTGGTGGCCAACATGCTCATTGATGACACAAATACAAATGAAAACACACAAGCAACAGTCGCAACAGTTGCGGGCGACAAGTGCCAGAGTTGCCATCACATGCAACAGTCAGAGTCGCCGCAATCTGCCTGTAACTGTGCCTGCAACTGCATAAACAAACTGGAGGATGCCACTCAAGTGCGCGCCTCCCTTCTGCTAGTCTATATCTATTTGGGCGCCCTCACTCTCATGTTGGCAACCCTGTCCATACTATTCTATACGTATACGCGGGGGGGCAGCGGGCAGGAGTCGATCACGCCAGCTATGCTCGGCCAGCATGCCTTCCGGAACCAGTTCCAGGGTGAACTGATGCGATCCGAACATATGCTACGCGCCATGGTTACACAGATCATGAAAAGGGATTATCCCTTGGAGGCAAGGTGAGTTCGGGAACAAAAATCATTATGTTGTCAGCACTTTCAGTCCCCGTTTACATTCCAGCAGTGGTTATAACATCATTCATATCCCTTATCCATTCAATTTACAGCTTTGCCGAAGCACAACCGCGCTATTTGGGCACTACCGTTGTCCGGAACGAGCGCAAGTTGAACTCCAATTTTCTGAATCCTTTGCCAAGTGAGAAGCGCATTCGCAGGGACATCGCCTCATCCTCACCCGCTTCCATGCATGGCAAGTGTAGCTGCGTCTTAACTAGTTCAGGAATTTGCCCCGACCTTCAAGATATTTGCTTACTTTTAATTGCAGCAGATCCACTGATCGAATTTTTCAATCCGAATCATCGCAAAGCACTGGATGAGCAGGACACAGAGATACGCAAGCGCACGGGATTAAAGGGTGCCGCACCGGGTGGCGATGAGTGGATCTATTTGAATACGTATTGTCGTGTGCCGGAGAAGATAATCACTGGCTTTTGCAAGGGCACACAGGAATACTGCCCGCCAGCACCGTCAGGACCAACGGGTGCCGTCGGCCCAAAAGGACCACCCGGTAATCCTGGCTTACCGGGCATACCCGGCCCCAAGGGCAATCGTGGCGATGTTGGGCTGCCGGGTGCAGCCGGCGTTGATGGTATCGGCCAGCAGGGTGCAGCGGGTCCCCGCGGTCCCAAAGGTGATCCAGGCAGCGTAGGTAGGTCGGGCCTCGATGGGCGAGATGGTGTGCCTGGTGAGCCGGGCCTGGACGGTGTACCAGGACGTGCGGGTGCCGATGGCAAAAATGGGTTACCCGGACGCGACGGAAAGGATGGTATGCACGGTAAGGATGGCAAGGATGGCATGTCTATAACGGGTCCCAAGGGTGCACAAGGACCGCCGGGCGAAAGGGGCTTGAAGGGTAAGCATTGTGTGAGCATTGAGCACAGCAAATGGTCTATTATCAATCTTAATTGCAGGCATTGCTGGTCCACGCGGACGTCCGGGCAAGCCAGGCACCAATGGCACACCGGGTGTGCCCGGCATCAATACGTGGAAAATGCAGTTCCCCAATGGCAGCGCTTCCAATGATTTACTAATACCACCCTCCATAACAGGTTAGTTAGCCGTGATGGGCGTTCAAATCGAATTGAGCTGACTACGTGTTTCTTCTTGCAGATGTGAGCTCGCCCAATGTCCGACGCAGCGTTATTGTCGAGGAGGGTAAGACGCTCAACATGAGCTGCTCGGCAACGGGCAATCCACAGCCGCAAGTGGAATGGCGACGGGATGACGGACGCACCATTAATGTGAATGGCGTCGAGTGTGAGTAGCTAGGAGTGAGAGCGAACATGAGCCAGATTTTAATCTTTTCTACTCCCACTCGCCCTCGCCTCCCACTATATATAGTAAGCTCCATTAGTGGCCAGTTTATAAAGTTCACTAACATAACGCGTCATCAAATGGCCGCCTATACTTGTCATGCCAACAACGGCATCGCCCCCGTAACCAATGCCACCTTTCTCGTGGAGGTTCACTGTGAGTAGAGCGTTTTGTAACTTTTCCTAACCAATTAGGAGTTCGTGTATGAGCGCGCCCTTTCATAGTTGATACAGTACAGTTAACCCTATAAAAACCAATTACTTGCAGTCGCTCCAATGATATCGGTGTACAGGCAAATGATCTATGCGGAGTACCAGAGTAGTGCCACTTTGGAGTGCCAGGTGGAAGCTTTCCCGGAGGCCATACGCTACTGGGAGCGGGCCTACGATGGCAAAATTCTCGAGCCGAGTGATAAATATCGCATCGAGTCCTATCCAGATGGGTATGTAAACAAAATCAAAGGCTTCTCAGCTGTTGGTGTAAATTTCAATTTATTCCCATGTAGCTTTAAGACCTCCATGCGACTGACCATTAGCAATCTGCGCAAGGATGACTTCGGCTATTATCACTGTGTGGCACGTAATGAGCTAAATGCAACCATGGTGAACTTTGAGATAGCACGTGAGTTAGATCTCAAGCTAAAATAGTCAAACTAAGCCAAACTAACTAACCATCAACAAACTTTGACGCTATTGCAGCTCAGGATCCGAATAGTGAAACACCCTATGTGGGCAACAATGTCAAGATCTATGGACAGCGACCTCCTGAAAGCGAATGTCCCGTTTGTGATCAGTGTCCAGATCCCAGGTAAAATTGTACATCTTCAATAAGTGAATCCATACTCAGACTCAGTTATTGTTCTCGCAGCTTAAATCAATGCAAGGATTCCATACTCAATAACTTTGAGATACAGCCCACAGGCAATCGCAGCTATCCAGGCCTGCCTAAGCGGGCTAAGAGTAAGTTCTACCTTTCGTCTCCCTAATCGAATAATAATATATCTCACATTGGGTATCCCCATTGCCAGCCTGTTACTTGTATGCAGTGGGTAAACCAGTATTCAACAAGGTTGTCAATGAGAAATTTGGTTCTTGGCTGCGCGATGCCGCCCCCAAGGATGTGGATCGGGAGAAGACCTTTGTGACCAATGAGAATGATGCGTTTAATCTATTCGAGTTCTCCACACGCATACAATATCGCACGAACAGTGTGCCAAGGCACAAGTATGAAATATCCGAGGGTTTTCAGGTATGCGAACACACTGAAGCCATTTACACCAGAACCCCAAAAGAGAAAACTAAAAAGATTTCTTTATTTTATTATTAGGGCAATGCACACGTGGTCTATAATGGCTCATTCTACTATCATCAGAAGAACTCCGATTTGGTTGTAAAGCTAGATTTGACGACTTCCAAAAAAATTAGTAAGTACTAAAATATAATTCTAGGGATACAATATTGCTAAGGACTTTTCCTTGCAGGCATACAATTGCCATATGCAGGAGTTTCTACTGGGAATCGACTCTACGCCACGGATTACAACTTTATGGACTTCAATGTGGATGAGGTTGGTCTCTGGGTTATATATAGTACACACGACTCGAACAACACTCTGGTAGCTAAGGTATATCTATAATATCTTTGACATATATATATATTTCATATTTTATCACCTATTGAATATTATCGCGTATTTTAGCTTGATGCTGAGACACTGAGAATGCAGTACAACTTCAACATAACACTCGATCATAAGCAGTTTGGCGAAATGTTTATCGTCTGCGGCAATTTGTATGCCATCGATTCGGGCACGGATAGAAATACCCAAATACGCTATGTTGTTGACCTGTACAAGGGCAAGCTGCTTAATGCAAATTTGCCATTCTCAAATCCCTTTAGCCACACAACTACAGTGGGCTACAATCCCTTAACAGTGGTATGTATTAACCGTACTCAGTGCCCATTCATTCTAATTGTTTTCTTCACTTATTGCATGCAGGAACTTTACTCTTGGGACAAGGGCAATGCACTTACATATCCTATACGCTACAATGAGCATCGTTTGGCCGGCGATACCATTTAAGTTAAATGTTTCACAAATAAATTAATATTGATACTTTTTTTTATGTACCAAACACTTGCAATTTTCTTAAAGGTGCTAAAAATTATAATAGTATTATTGATTGCATTTCATATTTATATTACACTGTCTAATTATATAGGTGAAGCTCAAAATATCGAACTGTGTCGTGTAATTAAATATGAAATGCGAAACGTTAACCGACAGACAGACAGAATATCACAGTTTAACTAGGGCAAACAGAAACCTCAGTAGACACAAATGCCACATAGCCAACGATTGGTACACACAGCATGGGTATAATTTATAATTATATATAACAAAAACAAAAATTGCACATGCTAATGAGAAAAAATTACTAGTTGGCTAAATTTAAACAAAGTATGTGTCCCATAATCTGTCTTCTTTTCTGAAAAAGCCTTCAACTAATACAAATTAGGTATAAATACATATTAGTCAATTTCGGGAATATGGATCATGGTTAGGCACTCTAAGTCAATTTGCAAAAATTCCTGCAACCGGTTTTCGCCCACGACAATTTGAGCTGACCTTATTAGGCTAAGCGAAGTGACAGCTTACCGCGCACTTCCCTTGCCCATGAATCATCTGCAATTAGCTGCAAAAATGTTGACATTATACCCGTCTACTTCATCAATTATGTGTGCCTTGCCTGCACCCGCCGCTGCAGCAACAAGTTCAGCTGTAGCCCCAAAGTACCAAAACACATTCACAGCCAGCCAGCGGAAACTGCGCGAGTGCACTCAGAAAAAAATCGATCGGCCTGAAAGTTTCTCTGGTTGCAAGAAATAACGCAAAATAAACAAAAATTAAATACAAACCACTTAAAGTTAGAAACGTTTGTCCTGAGTATATTTTTGTATTCTTAAGAAATGCATTTCCAAAAAGTAAAATGCAAAATTAAAGTCATGATAATTTGCAATTAGCTGTTGACAAAGAGCATTCGAATTTCTGTTTAATATATGTGTTTAATATTTTTAACAGCGGAACAAAACAAAAATTCTAATCTAGAAATTCGGTGAATTGATCTAAGATCTAGAATTAGAAAATTTTCCGTGAAATTAAAGAAAGAAAACCGTGGTGTTTGACAGTCACACCTTCAGCTTAATATATATATTCTCTGAAGTGAGCCAAAAATATTGCGATTTTCTACACTGTAGGCCGTTTTTTTTAGTGTAGCAGACAAAGTTGCGCAATTGCAACTGCGAGTCGAAGCGACAACGGGATCAAAAAGCAGCACTGCCATCATGGCCGACAAAATTGTACAGTTCATACATTGTCAACAGACAAATTGAGAAAATGATTGACTAACAGACTGAGTGACTGACTGATTGACGGCTTGTCAATGTATTCGCTTTCTGTTCAGCGTCGAGCGCATTTTGTTGTTTGACAGATGCATGCAAACTAACTTGCTAGCTGGTTTCCATCTACACAGCACCACCCACACCACACAACATTCCACACCACATAGCAACCACTGTGCAGCATGTTAACCTAGCAACATTGATTGCTTTGTGCTTGACTTTGCATCCTGCCTGGGCACATTTCAATTCCGTTTTTCAGTTGCCTCGGGAAAGCCTCTCGATTCTCGCTGTGTGTATATATGTATATATATGTGTGTGTGTGTGTGTGTGTGCTGCATGCTTGACAATTTGCATTTTTCGTTGCCTATTGAAATAGGCAACTCCCGCTCAAAAAGCACCCTGTAGCTATATGCAACGTATTTGCCTTTGTAATTGCGTGTGCAATTTTCAACATGTTTTTTGGGGAATTTTCCTCAGCATTTGATGTAATCAGTGTCGACAAACCGCTGACGGATTTGATTAAATGATCATCGAACTGAACCTTCAAATACCTAACAATTTCAGGACTGCTTAAATCCAAACAATCTAAAAATTCGTATCATTTGAACAGAATCGAATTTTTAGATGATTTTTTGTTGACTCAAGTTCAAGTATTAAGAAAGTATTATTATGATTGGGGAGCATTTTGCACTGCAACCTAGTTAGATCTATTGTGCCCTTTTGAGCCCATAGCTCTTCCACCAACCCTGATTCTTGCACAAATTGTCAAATGTCAGGTTCCGAATTCCATTGTCTTGCCCTCTTGAGACAGGATATTCCACCTTCTTCTGACCAATATATGCTTTGAGGATTTCTATTTGTAAAAAGATCGACTGAATCTGATACTGATTATATATACTTGAGTTGAGCTTGGTGACCACTTTATCTACACCTGTCAAGAGACCGGTCAGTAGTCGGTCAGTATTAAGAATAGACTTATTCTTCTCCATGGATATTACTTGAACTGTTGATGATTATAGCTTGCTAAAAGACACTTGGCGTGTCTTATAACTGGTGCTTCTGCCCATCGGTAATCAAGGTGGGTCTTTTAACAAACTCTAATCAGGAACAATTTAAGTAATATCCTTGTTTTTCTTTGTTCAACAAATACGAATAGTAATTTTGGTTATTTTGAACAGAAATAATTTTTAATGGATTAATTAATGTCGAGAAACATCATAGCTGAGAGAGGGCACTAGGTCTTCTTTTATTACAAAACAATCCCCGTAAGTGGCCAGAGGAAGAAGGTTGGGAGAGAACGCATCCCGCCGCAACAAAGAAGGAGGTAACCCCACCAGCAAAACCTCCCCAGCCGACGAACCGGGCAATCACCCGTCACTGGCCCAAAGAGCTGGGTGACACGGATGACGAGGACATACCCATGTCCTCACAGGAGCTAGAGGAAGAACTGCGAGAGGAGGCGGAAGCAGCTGCCGTCGAAATGACGAGCAGCGGCGACGGAGGCAAATCCAGGCCCCAATCGCCGTGTCAGTTGGAACCCCTCCTCTAGTAGGTGACAAGGGTCACCAAGACAGGGCTGGTCCAGGTAAACATCCACCGCGCTAAAGCAGCCTCGGCTGTCCTAGCAAGGATGTTTACCAAACAACATCTTGGGCTGGCCCTTATGCAGGAGCCATGGGTGAACAATGGCATTAAAGGCCCGTTCACTGCCAGCTCTAAGATAAACTGGGATCGGAAAGACTCAGGACTACTTTACTATCCTTTCAGAATTCCTCACCAGGGAATGCGTTTTCATAGCCGTACAGGTCAGTGGAAACGTAATGAAAGGATAGCAATAGTGTCGGCATACTTTGCAGGAGGTGGAGCCTGCCCACCACTAGAGATAGTACAAGTGGTGGAGTACTACCGACGGGAGAAGCTGCCAATGATCATCGGATGCGATGCCAATGTGCACCACACTATATGGGACAGCAACGACATCAACATGAGGGGTGAGGCCTTACAGATTTTATAAGTAAATATAGTCTAGAGCTTGTCGGATCTACACACTCGGAGAGGAGGTGTTAGACATTACCCTGATCAGCCGGTCCCTACAACCTCACTTTAGAGATTGGCATGTCTCTTCAGAAGAATCTATTTCTGGCCATTGAACAATAAAGCAAAGAGAGATGGAGTATGGGAACAGTACTGTGAGAATCTGTCCTTTTAGAATAAGGAGATTAGGAGGGCCAGGCGGAATAACTATAGAAACTTCTGCAAAAGCATAGTGAAGGCTCCGTAGAGCGTTATCTAAACGGGCGCCTGACGCAAATTTCGCGCTGAAGCGTACAGACAATTAATTTACGAGTAACAACATGCAAGAACTAGAACTCCTTTTCGAAACGCATTTTCCAGGTGGATCACCCTCCACGAAAATGTTATCGAAATTGAGAGTAGATATAAGTCGTCAGCTGACGACTGGGCATGTGCCAAGTCGGCAGTCGCACCGAAAAGGCTAGAATGGGCAACTGGTACTTTCCAGCCCTTCAAATCTCCCGGACTGGACTGAATATCGCCAGTTTTCCTTCAATATATAAGTTACAGAGAATTTATAGAGAACGAGGCAAATATGGCTCTCAGGGAGCCTATTAGAAACAATCATGAAGGTAAAATACCTCGAAGTCACATTTGACAGTAGATTAAACGTAGCATAGCCGAGAAGTCATGGATTACATCACCAAAGATAATGAGATGGCTATACCTAATGGAAGTAAGACCCATGCTGACCTATGGAATTATAGCACCGTGAAAACACAACTGCAAAAGTTGCAGAGAATGGCCTGAATATGTATGACAGAAGCAATGCGCACCTGCCCAACAATGGCCTTGGAAGCCTTAATGGAGCTCAAGCCACTCCAGCATACAATGAGGCTCCAACAGAAAGTTACGCTTCTGGGGATGTCGGCAGAAGCACTTGGGGGCAATCACATCCTACGCCAAAGAGATGGCCAACTTCTTTCAGATGTTATCTGAATACATATTCGAGCGAAATTTCACAGTTCATAAGAGTAGCAAAGGGGAATGGACGACTCTAGATGAATTACATCCAATAGAATCTCTGCATTTGGGAGATGTGCAGAAATGTAACTATCGGAGAGAATGTGAAATGTAACTAACGGAATACGGATATATCCATCCTATCCGATAGTCAAGCAGTAATAAACACTATAAGGGGGACGAAAATAACATCAAAAGTAGTCTATGAGGTAGTCCATGAGGTATACAATAGGATGGGTCCCGGGCCACAGGGATATAGCTGGCAACGAAGTAGCTGACGGCAAGCGAGAATGGGGGCTGAGAGGCCCCTAACAGAGCCAGAACCGATTTGTACCATAGGAATACACACAATACAACTGCTACTTAGAGAGGAAGCAAGACAGAGGCGACAATGGAGCTGGGCAGACACACCAAGACTCCGAGAAGTTATAACCATGGGAAAGAACACGCTTAGAATACTCACCGGTCTACTGTCAGGACATTGTAGACTCAGAAGTCACCTAACTAAACTTGGTATTTGTAGTAGCGAAGTAGTCAAGTTTTGTGAACGCGAGGAAGAATCCTTAATGCGCATCCTGGCAGAGTGTGTCGGCTTAGCCAGGAAAATATGCAGCATCCTAGGGATGCTTGTTAAGAGCTTCAAAGACATAAAAGCCCTCAACCCTACTAAGATTCTCGCATTCAAGCAGGA